GGAGGGGTGGGGGAGGGGAGGGGTGTGGAAGGGGTGTCTCGGGGGTGGCAGGGCAAGCCTGGGCACACGCGGGTGGTCTCACTGCAGCTGGATGCTGCCTAGCGGGTGCTTCTGCCCTCCATGGCTGTGATGTGAGGGAATCCTTGGGCCGCAGTGACCCGGGTAGTTGGTCATCAGTTAGCCATGGACCGACGTACCTTCTCCGAGGCCCAGGGTCCCGGTTGGCAGGATCACACTTGTCGGTCACTGTATCCCAGCAAGGACGCAAGGGACCCCTGGGACATCAGTGGAAAGGACGAAGGGGCCCGAGGCCACATAGTTCATCTTCATTTTCAAATAAGGAAACCGAGGCAGGGAGTGAGCGAGAAGGAGGGAGGGAGACGCGGGAGGAAGACGCGGTGGCCGCCACTTGGCCCTGGGTCAGTGCCTGGAGCTTTGGCAGCACCTTCTCTGATGCTAGGACTCGGGAAGGCGCACGGGTCCTGAGCCCGAGCCAGGACCGTGAGGCAGCGCCGGCCACCTCGGAGCCCCGTCCCTCTTTGGGGCGTGGGCTGGGGGCCAGGCGGACTCCGGGGTGAGCGGCCGTGCCCTGCGCCCAGGCCTCACGTCCCACTTTCCACACAGTGCGGGGGGCACGGGGGTGCTGCTGAACGTGGACCGCGTGGCCGAGCAGCTGGAGGCTCTGGGCTACACAGCCATCCAGGTGCGAGGCCTGGCGGACTCGGGCTGGTTCCTGGACAACAAGCAGTACCTGCGCACGGACTGCGTCGACACGGCCACCTGCGCGCCCACGGAGGCCGTCCGCCGGGGCATCAGGTGCGCTGGGACAGAGGGCCCAGCCCCAAGGCCCAGCCCCAAGGCCCAGCCCCACGGCCAGGACCTGGCCGGGGTGGGGTGGGGCGTCTGCGGGCGGAGTGGGGTGCCTGACTGGCCGCGTGTGCCCCAGGTACTGGAACGGGGTGGTCCCCGAGCGCTGTCGGCGCCAGTTCAAGGAGGGGGAGGAGTGGAACTGCTTCTTCGGCTACAAGATCTACCCGACCCTGCGCTGTGAGTGGCCGGCCTGGGGCCCCTGGGGCGGGGGCTGGACGTCCAGACTTCCTGCACCTCCTAGAAATCCAGCCCGGAGTCCAGCCCCGAGGCTGGGTCCAGACCACGGCCCCACCCGGGAGCAGGGCTACAGAGCCGTCCAGGTCTGCCCAGGACCCTCCCCATCTTGGCACTGAGGCCACTCAGTCCCGGACAGACCTGGATGGGGCCACCCTGTCCCTTCCCACGGGGAGTAATGTGCACCTCCCGAGTGGGGCCTTGGGGAGTGGTGCGGTCCCTGCAAAGGGACATCATCACCGAATGTGGGTGGGTCCCTGGGAACGGTGCCAAGGTGCCAGTGGTGGGGTGGGATTAATGAGGTACCTCTTCAAGGAAGGGCGGGTCTTCAGGCACCCGAGGGGGACAGCCAGCTGGCCTGGGAGCTTGCCGCGCAGCTGGCCGGGCCCTCAGGGACCCTGAGCCCAGGGTGGGCAGCAGAGTGCCAGAGCGAGGCCCAGCTGAGCCGTGCCCCCAGGCCCGGTGTTCGTGGTGCAGTGGCTGTTCGACGAGGCCCAGCTGGCTGTGGACAACGTGCACCTCACGGGACAGCCGGTGCAGGAGGGCCAGTGGCTGTACATCCAGAACCTGGGCCGCGAGCTGCGGAGCACCCTGAAGGACGTGTCGTGAGTGTGCCAGGCCCCACGGTCCCGCCCCACACACCGCAAACCGCAGCACTCGGGAGTAGCCGTCTCAAGGCGACCACAGGGAGACTTCAGTAGGGGACGAGTGAACCGTGGGGCACCCAGACAGTGGGACACTACCCAGCTCTGAGGATAGGCGAGCTGTCAGGCTACGGAAAGACACGGGGGAACCTTAGACGCAGGCGACTGAGCCCGTCTGGGAGGCTGCACGCTGTGTGATTCCGATGGCATCCTGTCAGGGACGAAACCAAGATGGCGAGAGGTCCAGGGCCGACAGGGGAAGGGGCGGGCGGAGCACGGAGGGTTTTTAGGGCAGAGGAAACACTCTGCGTGACGCTGTGGTGGTGGACAGGCGTCCAACCCACAGGAGGGACAACACCCAGAGGGACCCTCACGTCAGCTACGGACTCTGGGCGACGATGACCTGTCGATGTGGCTGCATCGACTGCAGCAAATGTGCCATCTGGTGGGGATAGTGACTGTGGGAGATGGGGGTACGGGCACTCGCTGCACCTCTCAGTTCTGCTGCAAGTGTAAAACCGCTCTGAGAAACGAAGTCCTTTTTTTAAACGGTAAAACACTCGCCGGTCCGGGGGAGCCGCCCGCCACTGCCCGGCCGGCCCCACCTGGAGGAGGGTTCGGAAGCAGGAAGGGACAGAGTTAGCAGGGAGCGCACAGGCTGGTGGGGACAAGGGCTGGGCCAGAGGGGCACCGGGCCAGGGACAGCGAAAGGAAGGAGGTGGGAAGCAGGCAGAGGAGACAGGCTCCCTGGGGAGTGGGCTGGAGCTGCTGGGACCTGCGGGCATCGGGCGGGGAAGGGGCTGAGGCGGGCATGGCCGCTCACAGAGCATCTTCCCCTCACAGCGCCAGCTTCGCCCCCGCCTGCCTCTCCCACGAGATCATCATCCGAAGGTCAGTGTCCCCACGCCTGGGCACAGCTCTGCAGGCGCGTGGCACCCCTCCTCGCTCGCCCGCCTGCCCCCCGGCTCATCTCAGGGGCTTCCTTGGGGCTTTCGAAACCCCCGGGACAATCAGCTATGGCAAGAATCCAGACTCAGCCCCGCCTACGGCAGCAGTGATGTGGTCATCCGCTTTGGCCACACCCTGGGTGACCCCTACCTGGGTTTCTGTCTGCAGCCACTGGACGGATGTGCAGGTGAAGGGGACCTCGCTGCCCCGGGCGCTTCACTGCTGGGACAGAAGCCTCCATGACAGTCATAAGGCCAGCAAAGCCCCGCTGAAGGGCTGCCCGGTCCACCTGGTGGACAGCTGCCCCTGGCCCCACTGCAACCCCTCGTGCCCCACCATCCGGGACCAGTTCACGGGGCAGGAGATGAACGTGGCCCAGTTCCTCATGCACATGGGGCTGGACGTGCAGACCATGGCACAGCAGCAGGGCCTGGAGCCCAGCAAGCTGCTGGGGATGCTGGGCGGCGGGAGCTAGGGTCACCCCGGGTCCGGAAACCCCAGCAGCCTTCACTGCCCCCCCGCCCACTGTGTTTGGGAGGCCCAGCGGACTTGGCGGGTGGACCTGTGGCCTCAGGACCCTCCCGCGCCGGCCGCCACGCCCGCCTCCGGCCCTCGGCGGGGAGCCAGAAGCACTGGAGTCCTCGGCCCCCCGGCCCACGAGGCCCCCAGCCCTGCCCCTCCCGCCCTTTTGTATTATTTTATAAAGTGACTTTTTTATTACTTTAATTTTTTAAAAAAGGAAAATAAGCAAGAAATATATGATGAATCGTATTGTTCTGTAACATATTTTGTTAATAATGAAAAAAAAGGACCACGACAGAGCGTGTCCCTCAGATCTGTTTATTTGCACGGCCCCTCCCCCGCCCCGCTGGCAGGGAGAGGGGCCCCACGGGCACCCTGACCCCCGACCCCTTCCCGGACCTGCCCACCCTACGCCTGGCCCACACCCCACCTCGTGCCCCGTTCTAGACCCTTCGTAGGGAGGGAGGAGGCTCTGCTGCTCAGCCCTTCAGACGGTACGCTGGCGAGACCCTCAACACGGGTACAGATCACGTTTCTCGTTTTGTTACTGAGGGGACGTTCCCACGACACACATGGCGCCGTCTGACAGTGCGTGACTGGCTCAGCACTCACCCACGATGGCACCACACACACACACACACGCACACACACACACGTTCACTTCACACACTGCCTCGGGGGCCACGGAGGGCGGCCCGGCCTGGTGCTCTGGCCAGCGGCGGCCTGTGCCCCACACGCTCATCCAGCACGGGTGGGGGGCGGGCGTGGACAGCCTGCGTGGACGCCACCATACGCACGGGCAGGCCCATCCGTGGGAGGAACCCCGAGGCGGGCTGCCAGGGCCACCCCTCTGCCGGCAGGCTTCCTGTCTGAGCTGTGGCTGCATCACGCAACTGTGGGCACCGTGCGGCCGTTCCCCCAGTCGCCCTGATTATAAACCGCAATTTACAGACAAAGAGGCTCGGAGAGGCTTGTGACAGATCCTAAGGGATGGAGAGAGGGTCCACCTACGTCCGCTGGGTCTCTGTTCCTGGCCTCTAATCTCAGACCTCGGAGCCTGCGGCCTTGTTCAGAGCTGGGCCGATTCCACACCCTCAGCCCCAGCAAGACCGGGGGCGTGCCCTGGGGTCTGACCAGCCCTGCGACAGGTCGGGGCAGCCTGGGCCCGAGAGGGACCTGAGCAACACCTGGTGGTGCGCGTGCCGCCTGGGCAGGTGCTGCACTCCCAGACCCCGCGAGGAAGGCCTGGGCTCACCCTCGACACCCTCCTAGCGTCCGCTTCCCCAGGTGGAGCTGAGGGGCCCTTCTGGGGTCTCCTCCATAGTTTCCTGGGGGATGGAGCCCAAGTGCCCAAGGAACACAGCAAGAGGCCAGGGATGCGGTGGCCGAAGGCTGGAGATCAAGAGGGGGTACTTGGGGGGGCTGCTGGCTTAGCGGAGCAGCCCCCTCCCCAGCCTCCCAGGAAGGCCATGGACAGGGATCCCCATGGGACAGTGGCCTCCCAGTGAGGGGGTGGGGCTGGCTGTCCCCTGCCTGGGGAGACTTTGCTCTGAGGGTGGGGCCCAACACGCCAGGGTCACAGCCGGTTGGGGGACTTGGGAGGTGCCACCTAGAGACCAGCCCTGTGCGGAGACGTGGGCATGCTACGCAGGGCACTTGCGCAGACGGCTGGCGCCCTGGCGGTGGGCTGAAGGGAGCTCAGGACGGCTTTGCGAGTTCCTGACAAAGACAGAAATAGCACGGCCACTGTGACCTAGTGCTCAGCCCATGCTGTGACAAAGGAGCCAAGGACACCTGAGGACACTAGTGCCGCCAAACCGATGTGACACCCAGAGCTCCTCCGCTGCCCTCTCGACGTTTCTAGAAACGTCGCTGCTTTGCATTTTCCACCTCACGTGGTTCCTGTAAGAGCAAAAATACTCGGGACAGACGCAAGCAAGGTGTCCTTCAGCAGGTGACTAACACTCAAACCATGGGGCATCCAGACAGCGGGACACCGCTCGGCGCCAAGGGGAAGCACACCGTTGGGCCACAGAAAGACGTGGAGGAGCCTTAGATGCACGCGACTGAGTGCCACGCTATGTGACTCCGACCCGACTCTCTGGAGTGGACAAACCGTGGAGGCAGTGAAGGGAGCGGGGTCCCCGGGGGGCTGGGGTGGGGGGGTGCAGGGCAGGGGCGCTGCTCCGCGCGACGCTACAGTGCTGGACACGTGTCACGTCACACTCGTCCGAGCCCACAGGACGGACGACATCCGGGGGGACCCTCACGTCAACGACGGACGCTGGGTGACGACGAGGTGAGTGCAGGCTCATCGACTGTGACGAACGCGCCGTCTGGTGGGGGTGCTGACGCGGGCGAGGGGGCAGGCTGTGTGGGAGGGCTCCGCACCGGCTGCTCGGTCTTGCTGCGGACCTGAAAGTCCTCTAAAAAGTAAAATCTATTTTTAAAATGCTCAGGCACTCACCCAGACCCTATGGCCCTGCTAGGTGGTGGCCGGGGCCGCCCTGGGCCCTGAAGAGTGAGACTGTACCTTGGTGTTGACGTCCACTTGACATTTCGACTCTGCTCTTAGCAGGAAAAAGCACGGGATCGGAGCTCCTGGGTGGGACTTGCCTGCGGCCGCTACTGCCCACCCCGCCCTGCCCCAGTGTGGCCGCCACCCCCAGGATGGCTTCACCCCGTGCCCTGCCCTGCTGGCCTGACCCGCTCTGCTCTCCAGCCTGCCACCCTCGCTCCCTGAGCGCCAGCCACCCAGGCCACTTGTGTCTGCTGAAGTGTCCGTGGACACCTGTGCCTAGTGCCTCCCTGCACCTGCTCAATCTCACGGTCCAGTTGTCACCTCTTCTGAGTGGCCTTCACTGACCCCCCCAAAGAGGCCCCCCCATTTCCCTCTCTCGCCTCCCTGCTTCCTTCTCCACACAACACACTCAGTTATTCGCACTTCCTTAATTCCCTGGCCTAGGGTCTGGTATCAGCTCCGGAAGGACAAGGCCGTTGGCTACTGCAGAAGCATTTGTCTGGTGAATGAAAACGTTAATCAGAAGGAGCAGAAAAAAAGAACCTTTGGGGAATTTTAAAGAGGCGAGGAAGAGCGAGAAGAACAAAACCCGGAGGCTTTGGTCGAATTTAATACGTGTACTATGCGGTCTTAGTGGCCTCGGCACAGCGCTTCAGAAAAAACGTTCGAAGATATTTTGAATAGCAATGTTTGTTTATACAAATATCTGTGACAGTCGGTGGAAGTATCCCCCAGTAGCCACAGGGACCCCAGTCTCACACGCCATTCTCCCACGAAAGGGGATGAGCCTGGAGTGTCCTGTGGTGCCAGACAGCGGGCGGGGGATGCTAAACAGACACCCCACTACACTGATGGGGGGGTGAGAGAGGACCCGGGGGCCGTGAGAGAGCTCCCAACGGCCACGGCTGGAACGCTTTCAGGAACAGAATAAAAATATGTGGTTTTGAGTTATAACTTAAAGTATAAAATAAATGTGCATGAGTACATACCGCTATAAATCGACAGTCGAACAAATAAGTGGGGAGAAGAGACCAATCTCTTCTGCAGAATTCCAAATAATGTGTACAGATACTCCGCCTCCAGGAGGGGGCATCACGCCCCGAGTGTGGGCCGCACAGCAGTGCCGTCCCCCCAAAGAGGACGAGATGCAGAGGCGGGAAAGAGGGGCTTCGCAGAGGGGACGCCGGGCCAGGAGACCAGAGTCGCCAAGGACAGCCTGCAAAGTCCCCGCCCAGCACACCTCAGAACTGTCAAGGTCACCCAAAACAAGGGCCGGACCGTCTGAGAGCCCATGGAGGCGTGATGACTAAATGTCACGTGGGATGCTGGGAAGAAAAGGGACAATAGGTTAAAAACTAAGGGAATAAAGTGTAGACGTTAGTTAATAAAAACATATCAATAGTGATACGTCAAAACTGGCTTACAAATTGTAACAAACGCCCCAGACGGTGGGGAATCCCGCCCACAAGGCAGACAGGGGTGGCGGGGACGGGGACTCTGGTGGCTTTCTTCGTACACAGGAAACTGCTCTAAAAAACAATCTGTTGAAAAATTTCATAAAAGCGAGTTTCTTTTATTCATACAAGAACATAAATCTAGCTATTCTTTAAAAAAAAAATCGCAGTAAGATACACATTTATTTTTTAAAAGTATTCTTTTCTCTAGGAAGTAATCGGTATTCATTTCAGAAGACTTAGGAAAATACCGAAAAGCCCAAAGCAGCAGGAAAAGCACCTGTTGCCCCATGTCTGGGAGGTAGCCATGGAGATACCTCAGGCGCTCGTCCTGGTCGCATATGAGCCCGTGTGCCTTCGCCTCATACCACAGAGCCTGTGCCGCCCCGCCAGCCGCAGCCCGCCTCCGGCCAGGGACCACTCGCCCGGCACCGGGTAAAACTACGTTGCCATTTCTACACTCTGAGAAACTGTAGACACAGAATCTCAGTGTTTTTGTAATTGTGACAAGTCAGCAAACCGACTTTTATAGCAGAAGGCACAGCTGCACAGGTGCGCTGGCCACCCCTGAGTACCTGGGGACACCCTGAAGTGCTGGCAGTACCAAGGCCAGGTCTCCCCAGAAAGCCGGAGGCTCTAGGCGCTACAAGCTGAACCCCTGTGGTTAGGGGTAGGGAGGGAACGGAGCAGAGGCGAGGGCAGCTCCCTCGTCTGTGGGACATTTGCGTGATTGAGAAACGCGGCTGGGTTCACCGCTATGGTTCGTTGAGCGATAACTTCAGCAGAAGCGTGGCACATACCTGCTTGAGGCACGAAACAGCCCACTCCGTGCAGAGGACGTCCTGCCAGCTCCTGGAGCCCGAGGCAGCTGCCGTGGGTCCCTGGAGGGCCGACGCCCAGGACCCCACCCAAGGGAGGGCACGCACCACCTGCCCGGCAGAGCCTGCCTCCTGCGTGCCAGGGTGAGCCGGTGGGCACCCCGGGGAGTGGGCGGGGGCTCCACGGAAGGTTCCCGTCTCCGGGCCTTTCCACCCACCCGCAGTGTCCGACGCTCTGCCCAGGGCGAGGGAGCTGCACACCAACACGACTCCTTTGGTATACGATTGTCTCAGCCGCCCCGGAGACAGCACAAATGGACACCGGCAGGTCAGGTCAGACAGCCTGCACCTGAGGGCGGGTTCACAGAGAGCACTGCCCACCGGAGCATCGGCGGAAGCCAGGACCACGGGCACGGAAGTCAGGGACACTCCCCAACCAATGGCGGGGCTGCTCGAGCCCTGGAATACTGACCGATGGCCGCCAGGACCATCCTGCTGGACG